AAAAACAAAAATAAATTTAAAAAAAATGTTCATGTAAGTGATTGTGTGTGTGTATGTGTCTGTTAGTGTGTGTGTGTCTGTTAGTGAGTGTGTGTGTCTGTTAGTGTGTGTGTGTGTGTGTCTGTTAGTGTGTGTGTGTGTCTGTTAGTGAGTGTGTGTGTCTGTTAGTGTGTGTGTGTCTGTTAGTGAGTGTGTGTGTGTCTGTTAGTGTGTTCGTTGTGTGTGTTTGTTAGTGTGTGTGTCTGTTAATGAGTGAGTGTGTGTCTGCTAGTTTGTGAGTGTGTCTGTTAGTGAGTGTGAGTGTGTCTGTTAGTGTGTGTTTCTGTTAGCTAGTGTATGCGTATCTGTCAGTGAATGTGTGTGTATTTAGAAGGCGGGGTGGGGGGAAGGGTTGGGTGGAGGTGGCATGGGGGGAGGGGGGTGCCTGGGTTTTGTCCTGCCTAGGGAAGCACAAAACCAGGATACACCACTGTGTGGAAGGCAAGATGTATTCATTGACCTATCAGGAAATCCCAGGTGAAAACGTCATGCTGTCTCTGAGGAAGCTGAACCTTTGGTGTCATTGGACTGCCCAACTAACAATGATCCCAAGCATACCTTGAATTTTACCAAGGTTTGGTTGCAGAAAAAGTCCTGGAAAATTCTACAGTGGCCAGCACAGTCACCTGACATAAAAAAATCTCTCGTGCGATTTGAAGAAGACGGTCGCAGCACACACAAACACAAAACAATATTACTGAACAAGAGGTTATTGCTCATGAGCAATGGGCTAAGATTCTTCAGTAACACTGCCAGAAGCCGGTGTCTGGCTATGCATCTCATTTGCAGCCAGTCATAACAGCAAAAAGGTGTTTTACTAAGTACTAGAGATGCTTGCAATAAAGGGGTTGAACAATTTTAAGACGAGGGAAGTCAATATAAGTTGCATTTTTAGTGCAATTTGGGGTAACCATATTAAGCATTCATTGTGTAAACCTGATTATCAAAGGGGGTTGAATAGTTTTGATTACAAATTATAAAATGCTAAGATAAAGAGAATATTGCAGTATGCAGTGATACATTTTTTAGTGGACCTACATAATATTTAAAAGACAAGCTTTACCTTCTCTTCTTTGGGTCTAAAGTTAGCAAGGAAAGCAACTGAAAGCGTATCTTTTAAATATTATGGTGATCACATATACAAAAATATGTTCCTATCCACAGCAGCAGTATTATAATTCCTAGTTTTTATTTTGGGCAGTTTCAAAAGGCCAGAAAGGCTCTGTACTCTGTACTCTTGTCTCCTCTTTGTTTAACAGGAAGCAAAATAAATGCAAAGCTGCCAAATACACCATTTAAATACATCAGTCATGAAAAAAGCTTTTCAGTTCACTTTTAAATTTTTCTTTAAATGTTGTTATGCAGGAAAAGATGTGACAAATTGCCTTGTTATTCTTTTGTAACATTTTAATTAATTGCTCTATTAAATTTGAGGCATGTCCTCATTTAGCTAAATTGGCTTTCTTTTTCAGAGCCCATCTGCTTACACACTTTGATTCATTTTAGAAAAATACATTAAACATAATCCATTATCTAACCTCTTGTCCCATCTTCAGCCAAAGGTAATTGTCTCCAAATAATCAAAGCGTCATGCATACTGCTTGAGAAGTTTACACACAGGTATGTATCATGAGCCCCATACTGTTTGTGCGCATTGGTACTATGACTCTGGATGCACAAGATCCCTTCATTAAAATGATCTATTTTTGGTTAAAACATTGCCGAGTCAATTCCTGACAAATACAAGAATCATTGCACATAAAATATTACAGTGTAATTATTTTAAAAATGGAAGGAGATTTTTGTAGACTTCCTAATTAATCCACTCCATGTGGCAAGTCTTCTTAGTTATATTTTCATTTCTTCTCTGTCATCTGATGATGCAAGCCAGCTAGGGACATGCAGGGATCTATCCAGAGGCCTCACTCTGGAGAGGTGCACACCCCCCCCCACACACACACACACACACACTTACTTCTTTTTTAAGGGACATATTTCCTCATGATTTGGACCCCTATCCTCTCAGTTTCATCATTACGTACAACACCTGAGACCCCGTCACATTTCTAAATATTATTTGATTGTATTTGTGGGTGTGTGGGTTTCAGTACTGCAGCAGAGGCTAGTTTACTTGGATTGTGCTTATGTATTGAGGGATTAATAAATGTTAAATAGCTGGGGGAAGGGTCAAACATGCTATCAAGAACTCAGCTGCTAGTTTTGGCATACTTTTTTTCCTGTTGTGCAATAGTACACTCAATACCTATAACATTTTTGTAACAGACCACTCTGTCCCTGGATTATTAAAGCTCTTTTCCCCATTCTCCTGTTTATTCGGTAAACCATGTTCGTCTGTAATTTTATTATTATTTTGTTCGAATACCGAACAAACCCATGAACTACAAGACCTCCAGCATGCTGCTCGTTAACCTCTGTCATCCCTGTCAACACCTCATTAACACTGGTAACCACAACGTTTTAAGCGGTCGGCTGGGTGGGTGCCGGTCGTATGTATGAACACTTGGTGGAAGCCATCTTAAGCCGCGAACACTGGCAGCAGTGTTTGGTTGCCGAGTGCGTGGGACTAAAATCAGACACTCGACAGCCTGAACACCGCTGAACTTCCATCTCCGCCGGTGTTCGGTTATATTCATATGAAAGGAACACTGTTCGATTGGGAAATTACTCCCGAACGAGGGACACAAAACCAGCATAAGGACAGATATCCACGTTTGGTAATTTGTGTGACTTTGTACCCATGAAAGAGACCGACCGCTCATCCTAATTCCATGGAACTATTCTAGGCAGGGGCCTCGCCTGCGGTCGGTCAGAACTTTACATTGGTGGCGTTTTCTGGGATCTAAGCGCTTTTATATGGATATGTTGAGCACTCAGATCCAGGCTATATGGGGATATAGGACTTGAGGGAGTACCTGATTGTATTGTATGTATTTTTAGGGTGTCACAATTGTACATGCTCTGTACCTGAGAGATAATTTAATTTAGAAGTTTGTTTTCAAGCAGTTCTCTCTCAGGTACAGATAAAACCATGGGGGGGTGGGGGGGATTGCCCTGTAATGTTGAGTTGGAAACCCTTAAAAGGCATAAAAGGCTGTGTGTGGCCTCCAGTAAACCAGTTTACCTCCAGCATTAAGTCTCGACTAATGTCTGTGGGGGAGAGCTATACCTGCTATATCCCTACTTTACGGGTCCCTGCTTGGATTATCACTATTGGGAAACACTGCTTGGGATTGCTACGGCATAACTCACACTAGGGGGAAAAGAACATCTCTGGCGGCAATATCCTTGTTCCTATCTGGGTGGCCCGCCATAATTATTATGTTACATTTATATGGGTAATACATGATTGTCAGTTTTTGCTTTATGTGGGTGATAATGTCTTTTTTTAGATAGCCACATTTTTGTTTTGTTCTATAGAAAACAGTATTAAAGGAACACTAGAGGGTCAGAAACACAAACATGTATTCATGACCCTATAGTGTTAAGACCATAACCAGCAAATCTGAAATACTGTTGGAATAAAATGTACTGAGCTCTCACATTAGCTAAAGATCTATATGATATATTGTATGGAATCTAATCTATATGACTAACCAAATAAAAATGTATAACTAATATTTTTGTGAATCTAATATAATATAATTAAAATAATCTGTGATTATATTTAAGATAACCAGAATATAAATGCAAAGAGTTACGAGGATAGTCCAGATGAGGCTAGTCAAGATAGCAATACCACCAAGACTACAGAATGTTCACAAGGATCAAACTCACAAATCCCATCTACATTATTAGTTCTGCAAAAAAGGATACAATGTGAGGTAAGGCCATTTCATTTTTATTATGTATCCATATGGAAAGCATTATAGAAAATAAGTGTTTTGTCAATGTAGGAAAGATGTAGTAGTAAAGAAGTAGATGTAGATGTAGAAGTAAAGTTAAGGTAGATAATGCTACAGGGGTAGATGGTGTTCACATAAGTACTTAGGGACTTAAATTTTGATTGAGTGTTGTGTGCAAATTGGCTACATGTTTTGTTTGTGGAGGAGGCTGAGAGATGTATGTGGGAGAAAGCTGAGTGTGCCCACATGTCTGGTCACTGAATTTTGTGTCTGAAGAGGACTCTGAATATTCCTGAGTATTGTGTGTGGTGTCTGTTAGGGAGTGTATTGGGTAAAGGCATTGTGAGTCTGTGAATGAGTTTTTCATTTGCTTCCCTCCTGCTTACCTTGTGACGTGTTATCTCTAGTGGTCCAATGGAGACCTTTGGGCAGGATCCCTGGTGGTCTGGTGGGGGAGAATTGTAGCCTTCAACCTTTTGGGTGCAGATCACTTTAGCAGCCCCCTTATGGTCCCAGAGCTTCCATAATGACATAGAGTGCAGGCTTCGGCCATTGAGGTCATTGAGGACTGTGAGGGAGCTTTTACAGGTAGATGTGCAGATCACATTGCTCCCTCAAGGTAATTAGGAGGTACAGGACCAAGCAAGGACATCTTTTCAGTCAGAACCACCACTGGGCCCCTGTCTCAGCCCAGGCCCTAGATCCGGAAGCATATTATGGGTAAGCCAACTGGACCAGAGCAAATTTATCAGCCAAAGTTAAAGTAATATGTAAAATACTAGGTGTTTAGAATATAAAAAACATTGTGTATGAAACCTGTCTGAATACAAAGTTTTACTAACAAAGCAAAAAACAAATTGAAGCAGACAGGATATTTATCTGGTATAATATGATATATATTAGAGAACAAATGGATAATTCATCAGATTTCAGAAGTATTATTTTACCAAAGAGATGAATGAAACAAGATATGAAACCTGTCAAACAGAAACATTTACAGAATAATTTGTAATTTTTACTCTTCCATTGACAATGCATTAATATAAATCGCTGTAGCATCTCTTGTGAATTTTCTGCCATTAATTTCTTCCCATTATTCATCACTTTGCATGTTTATATGGATATTATCACAAATGTGTGTATATATATATATATATATATATATATATATATATATATACATATTTATTTGTGATAATATCCATATAAACATGCAAAGTATAAAAAACAAATGACAATGAGATAATATTGTTTATAGGGTAAGGGTGGTTGGAAGGGGGAGGAAGGGAGGGGCGAATGGAGGGTTAGTAGTAAAGTACTATCACATTGTTAAAAATAAATAAATAAAGTAATCTGTAAAATACTGAACATTTGTGTCAGCAGTTGTGCTTTTTAAATTTTTATAATGATACAGCCATTTTATTTAATACTTTTGTGCTGATTCTTTTTTTTTCTTTTTTTTTTCAAGGGACACTATAGTCACCAATATATATATATATATATATATATATATATATATATACAATATTATTTCATTGTCATTTATATATATATATATACATATACATATACAACAACCTCAGCCTAACCCCTCCTCAACTCAGGAGGAACCTTAACTCTATTGACCTCCAGCAGCTGTCAGCTGACATTGATTCACAACTGCTATCCATCCCTTCCCTCTCCTGTCCTTCACTGGCCATCTCCACAAATAACACTACCCGCCTTGAACGCAGCCTCGCTCCAAACATGCACCTCGTGGAGGACACGACCCCAACCTTGGCATACTAAATCAACACGCTATCTGCAGAGTTGATCCCGTTGTGCTGAACGCTCCTGGAGGAAGTCCTGCACCTAGGCAGACTTTCTCCATTATAGATTCATAATGCGTTCATACAGCGCAGCCCTTGTCCTCGACAAACAATCATACTTTTCCTCTCTCATTAGTTCATGCTCCTGCAATCCCAGAGGTCTCTTTGACAGCTTTAATTCTCTTCTCCACCCTGCTGTGACCACCCCCCAAACTAACCTTACAGCTGATAGCTTTGCATGCTACTTTACCGACACGATTGAACAGCTAAGGAAACAATTCTCCCCTCCTTGCCGTTCTCTTTCTCAACCACATGTAAACCATGCCTTCCCTACCCTTCAGACTTTCTCCCCGGCTACTGAACAAGAGGTGGCTGTGCTTCTCCATTCCTCTCGCCCCACCACTTGCCCACTCGATCCTGTCCCATCTCACCTCATCAGATCTGTCTCCCCTTGTCTTGTTCCTACCCTAACACACATCTTTAACTGCCCTCTCTCTTCTGGCACTGTTCCTGCTGACCTTAAACATGCCACTGTAGTACCTATCCTGAAAAAAACATCTAGGGTGAGCGTTGCCGTGACTCCGCCTCCTCCTGAACTGCAGAGCGCCTTCCTGAACTGCAGCGCGCCTTCCTAAACTTTCAGTCTTGAGCCCAGCTGCCCAACTGATCCTGAGTCTGCTGGAGTCTTCAGAAAATTAAGTATTTGCAGTAATTCACTGTAACATATATATATATGACTTGTTTTATAGGGGTAAGGGTGGTTGGAAGGGGGAGGAAGGGAGGGGTGGATGGAGGGGTTAGTAGTAAAGTACTATCACATTGTTAAAAATAAATAAATAAAGTAATCTGTAAAATACTGAACATTTGTGTCTGAAGTTGTGCTTTTTTTTAATTTTTATAATAATGATACAGCCATTTTATTTAATACTTTTGTGCTGATTCTTTTTTTTTCTTTTTTTTTCAAGGGACACTATAGTCACCAGAACCACAACAGCTAAACATAGTAGTTCTGGTGTCTATAGCATGTCTCTGCTGGCTTTTTAATGTAAACACTGCCTTTTCAGAAAAAAGGGAGTATTTACATTACTGCCGAGGAATACCTCTAGTGGCCACTCATCAGACGGCAACTAGAGGTGCTTCCTAGTCCAGTGTTGCACAATGTGGCATTCGCGCCAAACACTCCTCATAGAAATGCATTGATTCAAAGCATCTCTATGATGCCACGCACGCACAATAGTCTCCCAATGCTTCCCTATGGGTAAGCAGTGGGTTGGCTATGATATACTCACACACTGCACTTTTCTATGCATTTTATTGCTGAGGTGATCTGTGATGTACTTGCACATCGCACATTACTGTGAGTTGTATTGCTGTGGAGCCATGCGATACACTGATACGCTTCACATTACTGTGATTTGTATTAAAGGACCACTAGAGTGCTAGGAAAACAAACACTTTAGGTCCCCCCCACCCTCAGGGTTCCACTCTCTCCGGGCTGAAGGGGGAGGAAGGGGTTAAACTCTTATCTTTCTCCAGCACCAGGCTCCCTCGGTGCTGGGGAACTCTTCTCCCTCTTCCGACGTCAGCGCTGACTGCACATGCGCGACAAGAGCCGCGCGCGAATTCAATCAGTCCATAGGAAAGCGTCTTCTCACTGTAATTTTCACAGTGAGAAGCACGGAAGCGCCTCTAGCGGCTGTCAGTGAGACAGCCACTAGAGGCTGGATTAACCCTATTGTAAACATAGCAGTTTCTCTGAAACTGCTATGTATACAGCTGCAGGGTTAACCCTAGATGGACCTGGCACCCAGACCACTTCATTGAGCTGAAGTGGTCTGGGTGCCTATAGTGGTCCTTTAATGTTCGACAAAATTGTTTGATGAAAGAAGAGGAAGCTTCACTGGCGTGCACATTTACTCTTGCATGTATACATGCATGCACTGGAGTCTTAACCTGTCAGAGAGAAGATCCATGCAACAGTCATGACCAGCTACAGAAGGGAAGAGCAGACAAAGCATGGAAGAACTGCAAGAGGAGGAAGGGGATTGGTGTGGCGCATGCTCTCGTTAGATGCCTTCTGTGGGAACTTTGCATCTGTAGTAAGTTAAACAGCATGCTTGGCTGTAACATCAACATTTTAAATATGCAAAAATCCTATTAAAAAATATGCATTTTCACTCTATTGACGTTTATTTACTGCAAGTGTCAATCATGTTTATTTATTCAGGAGCCTGACTGCCCTCAAGATGTCCAAACCTCTGAGTGGTGCTCAGAAGCGGAAAAAGAAGCAGGAGTTGGAGGAAAAAATATGTAGAATTCCAAAAATAACTGGCTTTCTTTTACCTACAAGTGGATCTTCTGCACAGCCTTCTGCACAGCCTTCTGCGTGTGGATCTTCTCAAGAACATGCTAGTACATGTTCTCAGGAAGAGATTCCTCCTCAAAGTGTATCTGAATATGGCTCTGAAACCGACACAGTGGATTCTTCTGATCAGCCCATGCCACTAGAAACCACTCCAGTTCCCATGGAAGTTGAGAAACCTAGCTTCCATACTGCTGAATCAGTTGATATACTGCCAGAATCCATGGAAAAGTCAGGTTTCCTAACTGAAATTGGTTTGTGGCCCAACTCATCTACTCTGGAGATGTGGGCGTATTGGTCCAAAAATGGAAATTCGTCAGTAAGGAAACCTCCGGAACAACTGCAAAATGAAGGATTTCCGAAATCATTTAAAGATGGACGTTGCTGTACAGCAGATATGTTTCTTTGTAAATATCCCAATGGGGACAAAGTTGAACTGAAGTGGCTTTGTTACTCAAATAGCAGAGGCCAAATATACTGTTTTGACTGCAAATTATTTAGTTCATCAACAAATGCATTTTCCAGTGATGGCTTCAGCGACTGTAAACATGCCAGTGAACGAATTTCATCCCATGAACAGTCTCAACATCATATACGCATTGTGATTGATACAGCCAAATTTTCAAAACTAGAAGGTAGGATTGACTATAAAATGCAACAGCAGATTGAAGACATGACCACCTATGGGCAAAACCTAGTAAAATGTTTGCTTAGTGTCACCGTTTTTCTTGCTGAGAGAGGATTGGCTTTTAGAGGTGATGATCAGACTATTGGATCCCCACATAATGGCAACTATCTCGGTATTTTGGAATTGCTGTCAGAGTATGATGCTTTCCTAGCACAACACATCCAAACAAAGGCAAACAAAGGCAAAGGATGTACAAGTTATTTATCAGCAAATGTCTATGAGGAATACAAATTACTGGGGATAAGATCTTAGAAGTTGTCATCAACCGTATTAAAATGGCAAAATACTACTCTGTTTCTGTGGATTCAGCGGAAGATTCTTCGCATATTGACCAACTCACAGTGATTTTTAGATACTTAGAAGAAAATCTTAACTTATTTACCCTCAACAGGGCATAAAGCTCCTAGCATTTCTTAATACTGTTGGACTTACCATACAAAAATGTTGTTACGGCAATGCAAGCAACATGTCTGGCCACTACAAGAGTATGCAAGCAAGAATTATTAACATTAATAAATATGCTAAGTACATACCTTGTTTTGGACACACATTAAATCTTGTCGGAACGGATGCTGCAAATTCGTGTATTGAGGCTGTAAGTTTTTTTAATTTTGTACAAGCTCTTTATACATTCTTTAGTGGTTCAACTCGACGCTACAAGAAGCTTAAAGACAAGCTTGACGAGAAAGGCCTCTCTGTGTCCATGCCAAAAAAGCTAAGTGACACACGCTGGTCATGTTGAATTTTCAACTGACATTGAAGAAAATTCTGAGTGCCGTAATACAGCAAAGGGACTATTTTATCAGATAAGCAAACTTGAGACAGGGATTTTTGCAGAATTCTGGAACACTGTTTTGCAGCGTTTTGAAATCGTTAAAAGATTTTATTAATGAACAGCATACTAAATTTGATGCATTTGAAGAAGCTGGCAAGCGTCTAACAGATACTGAGGAGTATATTGTGGGACACCGCCGTCATCAACGTCGGAATGTCCGTCAACAGCCTCTTGACTATGGACACAGTGAAGAAGCTCAATTAATGCCAAAGGAGGCCTTTTATGCTAAGGTCTTTCTCCCGTATCTTCACAAACTTTTAACGTGTCTGGAACATCGTCTAGGAGCCTACAGTGAAGTGTGTGATTTATTTGGTTTCTTTATAAACTTTCCAACAATGGACTCTGAATCCATTAAAATTGCAGCAGGAAAGTTGTCTGCTTTCTACAAGCAAGATCTGGGCACAACATTTGGTGATGAGCTAATTCAATTTCAGTCATTAATTTCTCTTTTCCTGGATGAAAAACCAGACGATTGCAGCATAGAGCAATTCATGTACAGTACAATTAATAACAAAGATGTAAGAGATACTTTTCCCAACACGGAAATTGCTTTAAAAATCTACCTTACTTTAATGATCACTAACAGTTCAGGTGAACGATCTTTTTCAAAAATGAAATTGATAAAAAACTTACAACGCACAACCATGAGCCAGATCCGTCTCACCAAACTATCTATAATGTCTGCTGAATCTGAAATACTTCGCGGTCTTGATTTTTTAAACATCACAAAGACCTTTGCTGCTCAGAAAGCACGTAGACTCATTGGTTAAATTGCACTAAAATATTTCTTTACTATTTTATGTAAAGGTTCTCTGCACTTTACATTAATGGTTGTCAAACTACGTATTCTTTTATAATAGTCTGCCACTGCAGCAGTTGGTGCCTAACAGGAATTATAATAAGGTTGACCATGTACCACTGGTACTTGATTCCCTACTCTCCATATTGGAATGGGAAATGTGCACTTGGATTCTACAAATTGTAAGGTGTAATATTGTTTATTTAATTGCATTGTTTACTTGCGTTGTTAATTGTTGTATTTCTTTTTTTTTGTGTGTGTGATATTACTAGCCAACATGGTTATTTGTTTTATAATTTAAACATAATAATGTTGATTTGCACTGAAAGATATTGTTATTATGCTTGTTCTTCTAACAACATATAACTGTTAATAAAAATATACTATAAGACCGAGGTTAAAAGAAGCTACAGATGGCAAGTAGGTTAAGCTATGGACTTATTTTTGAACCAGTTCTTTATGTTTACGTTATGAAAGTTTACTACTCTACGAGGTATGTGTGTTTTTTTGTGTGAATGTGTGTGTGCTGTGGTGGAGGGCGCGATTGCATGCTAGGGTGTGGGAAGGTGGGATCCAGGGGGCCCAAGTAAATTTTTGCCCAGGGTCCAATCAATATTAAAGACGGCCCTGTCACTACTCCATATTAATTCTGCTTGACCTCTCTGCTGCCTTTGACACCGTTGATCATGCTCCCCTCCTTCAAACTCTTCAATCGCTCGGTCTCTGTGACTCTGTCCTCTCTTGGTTTTCCTCCTATCTCTCCCAACGCTCATTCACTGTCTCCTTTTCCAAGGATACCTCCTACCCTTGCCCTGTCTCGGTTGAAGTTCCCCAAGGCTCTGTCCTTGGTCCCCTTCTATTTTTTCTTTATATTGCCTCTCTTGGCAAACTTATTGCCTCTTTTGGATTCCACTACCACCTGTACGCTGATGACACTCAGATATACCTCTCCTTCCCGGACCTCTCCCCTGCCGTCCTGCAACGTGTCACTGCTTGCCTTTCTTCCATCTCTGACTGGATGTCCTCGCGCTTTCTGAAACTCGATCTCTCTAAAACTGAACTCCTTGTCTTTCCTCCTCCTAATACTGATCCTCCTCTCTCGCTCTCCCTTCAAGTCAGTGATATCCACATAAGTCCATCCTTGCAAGCATGCTGTCTTGGCATCATACTTTACTCTGGCCTCACCTTTGAGCCTTTCATCCAGTTTGTTGCCAAATCCTGTAGGTTCCAACTTAAAAACATAGCCCTTATCTGCCCCTTTCTTACACAAGATGCCACCAAGGAGCTTGTCCATGCTCTAGTAATTTCCCGCATGGATTACTATAACCCTCTCCTGATTGGTCTCCCCAAAAGCTGTATTGCCCAGCTAGAGTCTGTAATGAATGCTGCAGCTAGACTGATTTTCCTCTCTAGTTGGTCCTCTCACAACTCACCCCTCTGTCATTCCTTACATTGGCTCCCTGTATCCTATAGGAGTCAATTCAAAGTGCTAACCCATACATTTAAGTCACTGAACAACTCTAGCCCCTCTTATATCTCTTCACTGATCCATAGGTATGCCCCTCCTCGTACCCTCCGCCCTGCCCATGACCACATCCTGACCACTGCTCACACCCGTACAGCCAATTCACGCTTGCAGGACCTCCTTTCCTATGGAATAGCCTGCCTACCACCATCAGCCTCTCCCCTAGTATTCAATAATTTAATAAGGGCCTTAAAACCCATCTCTTCAGGAAAGCTTATGGCCTCCCAGAGTAACCTCTACCTTACATACCTGTCTCTTGCTCTCTCCTATAGGGCAGTGTTTTACTCTCTTCTCCAGCTTTTCTTCACTCCCACCCTATTTGATTGATATTTCCTGTCCTAACGTGTCCCACCTCCTATAGACTGTAAGCTCATTTGAGCAAGGTCCTCTTCAACCTATTATCCCTGTAAGTTTTCTTGTAATTATCCTATTTATAGTTACATCCCCCCTCTCATAATATTGTAAAGCTCTACAGAATCTGTTGGCGCTATATAAATGGCAATAATAATTATTTTATGTATATATACATATATATATTTATATGCTAGGATTTCATTGTCATTTGTTTTTTGTTATAAAATAGTTGTTTCTTCAATTAGAATCTGTTTATACTTATTTATACTTACTTTTTTGTAATAGTGAATCTGTCTGCATCTTCTCTGCATAAAAGCAAAGGTTATTCTGAGGTCTAAGATAATGAGTCAGTAATTAAATAGGAACTAAGATGTGCAATATTTCCATTATAGTAATTGCCTTTTCTGCTGTTGCTTTTTATTAAATTCAAAATCTTAAAGGTTTATTCCAACGAAAAACAGTGTTTTAATAAAATACTGTTTTTCATAAAAGTAACCCATGCTGCCACTACCATTGGTTGCTGATGGAGGACGATCAGTATGCACAGATTATTAGTCAACCTGGAGCAAGAATAACACCCACAGCACCAACCTCAGATAACTCAGTATGTGCACATGCAGACTCCAAGCACCATGACCACTTCAAAAAAGCTGAAGCGATCAAGGAGCTTGGAATAACCCTTTAACAGACTAAACATTAAATGTATCTTAACTTAAATGGTAAATAAAGAAACCTATATTTATGAAGTTACAACTGTACATAATCCATGAAGTGGGTGTGTTGGAGTAGGCAGATATTTTCCCAGTTATCATATGAGATCTTACAAAATGCTTTTTGATGCTGTGGTATTACTTTTACTTTACCCTGAAAATGAATTGCTTATATCCAAGGATGCACAGTAAAAAACAATATCTTTATTATTTTAAAATAACAAATTCAGAATTTACGACTGGGCTTTAAAAGCAAAGTTACTTATTTTAGCCTGTTGATAATCTTTAACCATTTACTAAGGAAATCAAAGAAAATGTGTTATCACCATAGAAAAGTTGTGTTAAAATATCCACATGTTAGCAGGTTTGTCAAAAAAAAAAATAGTTGGCACTTATTATATAATTCGATCATTTCAACAATACAGAATCCTGGTGAAATATATCTGGTTCTAAGAGACAAAATACCAAATAATTCAAGTATTGACATTGAGTTCTGCACAGAAAATCATTTTGTCGTCACAAGGCAAGCAACACAATGGAATGAAGAAATTCTCTATGTAAAGGCTCCAGGTAAGAATATAAAAAGGAATCTAAAAATGACAAAATATTAGACATGCATAGAAAGATTTTTTGTTTTGTGTTGTTTGTTCTGATATTTTTTTTGTTTCGGATCAACCAAAATTCATTTATCTATTTGGTTCATTTAATTCATATTTTTAAACCATACATTTCTACGTAAATGAATTAATCCTGTTTGTAAAACAGGATACATTCAAAATGAAACAAAATAGTGAAAGGCTGTGCATTTGCAATTGCAGGAACACACTCAAACCCAGCTAAAATAAGAATTATTAAAATTTGAAAAAATAAAAAAAACTTTTATGTTTATCATTAATTTTATTTATATTAGTACTATATATGATGTATTTGCTTATTTAAACTATGTAAATATAAATTAATAGTATGTATAAATTAATTAAAACTGCTAGAAGTAATAATTTCTGCATCAGATAGACATTTGCAGTTTTTATTTTTTGTAAAAAAGAAATGTTTCTGTCCCATTCATTCTGACCTAAAGGGACATTACTGCGAAATGTCTTGGCTTATGATAATCCACATTAATCAGATAATAATACAAGCAATACAGCACTCCAATAAGGCTTTATATGCTTAAATCAGAAAAAAAAATGTTTTATTAATTCATTGGTTAAAAAAAATTATATTATAAAGAAGGGAACAAAAATAGGCATCACATCTGTCGTTATACTCAATACAGTTCCAATGATGAAATTAAATACTTATCATATACCAAAACCTCCCTCTACTACTCCTACCCGAGATAGCAAAATGATAAGTATAGTATAGTATGTGGCAATGTAATTAAACAATACATAAACTGTCAAAACAGTCCAGTGGATCCACCTAATATAAGCAGCTATAATAATATCACTATAGTCCAAAAGCTTACTGGAAGTAGTGAATAGCTCAAAAAAAAGGATAAAAATTAAAAAAAATTATTGAAAAAAAGGTTAACAATGTCCAGCCAAATGACCATTGAGGGGAGAAAGATTGATGTATATACAAATCCAGTCTCATGCATAAAGAAACAAAAGAACAGAAGAAAAACAAAAAGGCAAACAAAAACAAATGGGTAGTGATATTTCTTGGTAGAGAGATCATTAATGTCTGCTGCACTGATGGTTCCAAAAGGTATTTCCATTAGGTATACACAGAAATGTCCAGTCAATCCTCTGATGTGCTTGTTTGAAGGTATGACGTTGGTTACTGACAGTCTCCTCCGTGGTAGCTGACAGTCTCTTTTACAGAAATTCTTTGCTGCATGCTCGGGACAATGATGCCCCTTCTGACAACATAAAATAAATAGCAGAAATGGTACCACTTGATAGTATTCGAAATGTAGCTGTAACAATGCAGCCACTCACTACTGTTTTAACTTTTTAAAAGAGCCCACAGAAAGAAAGGAAAGATTGTTCTTATATTTGTCTGAAAAACAATGCATAAACAATTTAACAAACACAAAACAAATGCTTGTTAGAATAAAAAAAAAATGATAAACATTTTTTGTTAGTTTGTAAGTGAGCTATGCAATATAGACAGACCATCTCACTGTAACTGATTCATCCGCACATAGAAATGTTTGAGGGTATTTACCGTCCTGACAGGAATAGTCGTGCCCATCTGCAACCATGCGCCCGGATACCTGATAAACCCAGCGTGTCTAGGGACGCCGGCCGCTGCGGATCTTTGCAACTTTATAGCTCCATGGCCACCCACGCTGATGATGACAACGGCGTGCGTGTGACATCACGCACACACGTTTTGGGGTCAAAGGCCAGTTATAACCAATTGGAATAACAGGAG